TCTGCGGCCAGACCTGGCCCACTGCCTTTTTTTGTAAGGCCCTCAAGCTACAAGGGTTTTTCCTTTTTTGTTGTTGTTGTTGTTAATGGTTGGAAGGAAAATGATTCTTTGACCAATGAAAAATTTATAATATTTAAATGTGTGTGAATAAAAACGAGTCAGAACACATCCAGGTCCGTTTGCTTATTACTGTCTATGGTTGTACCAACTGAGTTGAATAAACTGTGTCTATGAGTGTGTGTGGCTCACGCCTTTAATCCCTGTACTCTGAAGGCAGGGGCAGGCGGCCAAAGCTACATATGGAGACGCTGTCTCAAAACAAAACGCTTAGGGAGGCTATCTCCAGGGAAACAATAAAGAATGGCAAGCCCACGGCACTAGTTCCGTGTGTTAAAGAGATAATGGAGAGATACACAAAACAGAGTTAACTATTTCGAGAGCCCCAAATCCAAAAACTGAAGTTCACTAAATCCCAGAAGACTTGGAGAGGTGTGGCCTCATCGCTGGACTACAAACCAGTGCATCATGGGACGGCTTAAAGTGGGAAAAAGAACGAGGCCAGGCGCGATGGATTATGGGAGGCGTTTCTGAAGGCCGCGGGAGCGGGAGCGTTCTTGTATCGGCCGGTCTGGGGAACCACGGGGAGCGGGGGCGGGCCAACCAAACGGGGCCCCGCGCCTGTTCCCTGAGCCCAAGGCAGGATGCAGCGCCGCGCGTCCGCTGCCCGGGAGATGCTGAGTGTTCGTCGGCTACGCACATCCCTGCTATGTCCGGCTGCAAGCTGCCGAGGGGCCTGTGCCCAGACATGTGCCCGGCCGCCGAGCGCTCCCAACGCGAGCGCGAGCGCCGCCTGCACCGACTGGAGGTAGAGCCGGGCGGACCTGGGAGCGCGCCCCGAGCCGACCGGCGGCGCGCCGTGAAGGAGTACAGCCGGCCGGCGGCAGGCAAGCCCCGGCCCCCGCCCAGCCTGCTGCGGCCGCCCCCAGTGCTCCTGGCCACCGTGCGCTACCTGGCCGGTGAGGTGGCCGGCCGCGCCGACGCGTCGTGCGCAGAGGTGGCGGGCTTCGTGGCGGACCGCCTGCGCGCTGTGCGGCTGGACCTGTCGCTGCAGGGCGTGGGCGACGCGGAAGCGGCGGCGGTGCTGGAGGCCGCGCTGGCCACGCTGCTGGCCGTGGTGGCGCGACTGCGACCCGAAGAAGCGCGCGGAGCCGCGGACCCGGTGCTGCTGCAGACGCAGGTGCAGGAAGGCTTCGGCTCGCTGAGACGCTGCTACGCGCGGGGCGAGGCTCCGCACCCCCGGCAGGCCGCCTTCCAGGGCCTCTTTCTGCTCTACAACTTGGGTGAGTCGGGTCCCACGGAGCTGAGCGTGGGGGACCTGAGGATCTTGGGGGAGAGGCAATTCTAGCATCGACGGCGAAGTGTAGCTTAGGGGTACGGCAGCTTCCGTTACTCCGTAATAGCTCCTCCTCGGGAAAGTCAGTTCGTAAGAGCCCTCGAGTCCCGACGTGAGACCTCAGACCTGTCAGTCCGAAATTGGGCCGTTTTCTCCGTTAATAGAGATGGAGGGAGGTGGAATAGTAGTGAGAGAGTTGGCCTAGAAAGCGCTTTCCAAACTTTTAAAAACTACTCAATGGGCTGGCCCATGAATGAATCTAACAGAGTTGCTAAAAAGGTCCTTCCTGTGGGTGAATTACTTATTAAAAGAAAATCCGATGGGCGTGGCGGCAGGTGCCTTTAATCCCAACTCAGGCAGGCAGATTCTTTGGTGATTTTTTTTTTTTTTTTTTTTTTTTTTTTTGGTTTTTCGAGACAGGGTTTCTCTGTGTAGCTTTGCGCCTTTCCTGGAACTCGCTTTGGAGACCAGGCTGGCCTCGAACTCACAGAGATCCGCCTGCCTCTGCCTCCCGAGTGCTGGGATTAAAGGCGTGCGCCACCACCGCCCGGCTCTTTGGTGATTTTATATATGATAACACACACAGAGTGACTTTTTTTTCCTTTTTCTTTTTTTGTTTTTTGTTTTGTTTTTTTGAATCAGGGTTTCTCTGTGTAGCTTTGCGCCTTTCCTGGAGCTCACTCTGTAGACCAGGCTGGCCTCGAACTCAGAGATCCGCCTGGCTCTGCCTCCCGAGTGCTGGGATTAAAGGCGTGCGCCACCACCGCCCAGCTAAAACCAAAACTTTTTATAAGCCACAGTCATCCTAGCCCCACCCCCCTTGCTATATAGCCTCCCTGGTTCTGTGGGTTGCAGTCTGATTGTCCTTTGCTTTTTATCTAGAATCCACTTATGAGTGAGTACATACCATGTTTGTTTTTCTGGGTTTGGGTTACCTCACTCAGGATATTTTCTAGTTCCATCCATTTGCCTGCAAATTTCATGCTGTCATTGTTTTTCTCTGCTGAGTAGTATTCCATTGTGTATATGTACCACATTTTCTTAATCCATTCTTCAGTTGAGAGGCATCTAGGTTGTTTCCAGGTTCTGACTATTACAAATAATGCTGCTATGAACATAGCTGAGCATGTATCTTTGTGGTATGATTGAGCATTCCTTGGGTATGTGCCCAAGAGTGGTATAGCTGGGTCTTGAGGTAGATTGATTCCCAATTTTCTGAGAAACCGCCATACTGATTTCCACAGTGGTTGTACAAGTTTGCATTCCCACCAACAGTGGAGGAGTGTTCCCTTTGCTCCGCATCCTCTCCAACATAGACTGTCATTAGTGTTTTTGATCATAGCCATTCTGACAGGTGTAAGGTGGTATCTCAGAGTCGTTTTGATTTGCATTTCTCTGATGATTAAGGATGTTGAGCATTTCCTTAAATGTCTTTCAGCCATTTGTGATTCTTTTGAGAATTCTCTGTTTAGCTCTTTAGCCCATTTTTAATTGGATTGTTCAGTATTTTGATGTCTAGTTTCTTGAGTTCTTTATATACTTTGGAGATCAGTCCTCTGTCAGATGTGGGGTTGGTGAAGATCTTTTCCCATTCTATTGGCTGTCTTTTTGTCTTATTGACCGTGTCTTTTGCCCTACAAAAGCTTCTCAGTTTCAAGAGGTCCCATTTATTAATTGTTGTGCTCAGTGTCTGTGCTGCTGGTGTTATATTTAGGAAGTGATCTCCTGTGCCAATGCGTTCAAGAGTATTTCCTACTTTCTCTTCTATTAAGTTTAGTGTAACTGGATTTATGTTGAGGTCTTTGATCCACTTGGACTTGAGTTTTGTGCATGGTGATAGATATGGATCTATTTGTAATCTTTTACATATTGACATCCAGTTATGCCAGCACCATTTGTTGAAGATACTTTCTTTTTTCCATTGTATAGTTTTGGCTTCTTTGTCAAAAATCAGGTGTTCATATGTGTGTGGATTAATGTCAGGGTCTTCAATTTGATTCCATTGGTCTGTATGTCGGTTTTTATACCAGTACCAAGCTGTTTTTATTACTATAGCTCTATAGTAGAGCTTGATGTTAGGGATGGTGATGCCTCCAGAGGTTGCTTTATTATACAGGATATTCTTTCATAAAAAGTGGCTCAAGGTTCCAGTGGCCAAGATTTCCTGGAAAGGAAGAGAGTCTTCCTCAAAAAATGACCTTTCCAGATGGAGAAGTGGGAGTGTGGCGAAGAAGCCAGCACCCAAAATCCTTTTGATACTGCAACCCAGACAGTGGGAAACCCAAGTCAGAAATCTTGGGTCTAGCGGGAGTAGCCTGAGCTCTCTAGGACAGCCTCAGGCAAGCCTTTATTTTGGCCTGTGCACTGGCTGGTTTTGTGGTCGACTTGACACAAACTAGTCATCAGTGAGGAAAGAGCTTAAGTTGAGGAAATGGCTCCATGAGATCCAGCTGTAATGCATTTTCTCAATTAGTGATCAGTGGGGGAGGGAGGGAGGGCCCAGCCCACTGTGGTGGTCCTGAAAAACGGAAAAAAGAAAGCAGGCTGAGCAAGCCAGTGAGCAGCACCCCAGTGGCCCTGTATCAGTTCCTGCCTCCAGGATCCTGTCCTGCTGAGTTCCTGTCTTGATTGCCCTTAGTGATGAACAGCAATTTGAAGGTGTAAGCCAAATGAACTTTCTCCTCTCCAAACTTGTGATTGTCATGGTATTTTGTCTCAGTAATTGAAACTCAAGACAGCCTGTGTCCTCATCTGTAAATGTAACAATGCCCATTTCCCCCTTGTAAGGATTTAGACTGAAGGAGGTCTGGTATTGTGGCACCTCAAATAGATCAGAGAAGGGTCTGGTGTGATGGCTGGATTTGTTGGAAGGAGAGAGGAAGTGGGTTAGCCTCTCTGAGGGAACATGACTGGAGTTGACAGGTGGGCAGAACCAAGTTCTGGAAAAGACCTGGAGGGGGTGGAATATAAGGTAGGTAGGCCTGATCTAAAAGTTACTAAGCATTCTTGTTTCTTTCTGATTCTTGCCCCCAGGATCTGTGGAAGCCCTGCAGGCGGTTCTACAGCTGCCTGCCACCCTTCGTGCCTGTCCACCCCTTCAGACTGCCCTGGCTGTTGACGCTGCCTTCCGTGAAGGCAACCATGCCCGGTTGTTTCGCCTGCTTCGCACCTTGCCCTACCTACAGAGCTGCGCAGTGCAGGGACACATTGGCTCTGCCCGCCGCAAAGCCCTGGCCCGTCTGTCCCGTGCCCTGAGTACTCCTAAAGGACAGACCTTGCCTTTGGACTTCATAGTACACCTTCTGGCCCTGGATGGGCTCCACGAAGCACAGGACCTGTGTCGGGCCCATGGACTGACCTTAGATAAAGACAGAGTTGTATTCCTGAGGGGTCGATACTCTGAGGAAGGACTCCCACCCCCTGGTACCTGCCACCTATTAGTGGGAAGCAAGCTGCAGGGACACACCCTGGAGGAGGTGGTCATGGCAGAAGAAGACAGGGAAATATGCAGACCTGGATCTCCAGCTTGAGAGGGTTCTGTCTCCCCCAAGGATTGGACCAGAGCACCTGGGGTTCTTTTTCATGATTCCCAAACAATTAAAGGAACTTGTTTTACAGGAACTTGTTAGACTTCATTTATTTGAGAGTTAAGAGGGGAGATAGAACATTGAAGAGCAGGGCAAGAAGAAGCACGGTTGGGCAATGGCCTTTACACTCTACTTTAGGCCCAAGTTTCACCCACTACCATGAGCAGGTGTTTTTAACTGCAAGGATCCCCAGCTGTTGCCTCAAAAGCTTGAGAGAGTTTCCTGGTTTAATCTGCCCCTATCCTCAGCAAAGACTGGGACATATCCCAGAGAAACAGGTGTGAGACGCAAGATAAAGGAAAAGCCCAAGAGATAGGGCTAGGGTCAGAGGTCATCCACAGGTTCCAGGGTGGCTGCTGCACCCTCCAGGGCCATTACTACAATGCTCAGCTGCCTCTGTACTTCAGCCCATGCTTCAGATCCTGAGTTGGCGTCCTGTGCTCTAGCACAAGCATTGGCCAGACCTGGGAATGTGGCAGCAGAGGCTGTGTTGGGTGCCCAGAGCACGTGACTGCGGAGAAATAACAAGCTGACGGTCAGTGAGAGGTTGGCCTGGAACTCTGCATTGTCCACAGGCAAGCATAAAAGCCCCCCTGTCTGGTCTCTGAAAGAAAGGGCTTAGCAGTGTAGGGAGGACCTCATTCCCAGCCATCAGTGAGTAGATTGTGCAGTGAAGCAGGAAACCTCTTTGGGTGGATCATTGCTCCACCCCACCTCCCAGGAGCTTTAGCATAGACTTACCTATAGTATCGGTTCTCTGGGAAAGCCCTTGGGTTCAGGAATGCCCGTTCCAAGAGCATTAGCTGGTCATTGACCATCCGTACCTGCAAGGGACTGGAGGGCATGTGGGTCACCCCACAAGCCAGTAGTCTAGCTGCTAGCTTGGCATGTGCCCTTGGTGCCCCCTCCCAGACACCTGCCCACTGCCCATGCTCACTTAGGGCTGTTCTTCTGCAGTGCTGAGATGCGGTGGACCAAGGCTGCAGCTGCTGTCTTAAACTTCTCCACTGCAGTCACCAGGGGACCTGCGTGAGGAACATCTGGCTTAGCTCTGCCTGGGGACACAGGGTTCCCCGAACTTCCGTGTTGGGGTGTGCATACCCAGGCTGATATTATGCTGCTCTAATAGGGTGCCAAGACCCATTTGGGCAGCCTCCAGGAAGCTGTGTAGTGTCTCACTGTAATCACTGACATTGAGGGGCAAGAAGAGGCTGTCACTGAGCCGCAGAAGCACACTCCCAGCAGTCCGGGCCACAGCTTGGTGGCTGCTGAAACCTGTGGAGGGGACATGAGGCCAGGACTGCATCTTCAGCCCATCCTTCTATCCTCAGGATGTCCCTGTCCCCTCCTCACCAGGGTCCAGAAACTTCTCCATGTAATCAAACGTGTCAAAAGCCGTGTGGTAGGTGGGGTAGATCCTGGCTGAGGTCTTGCCCTAGAGGAATAAGGAAGAGGGGCTAGGCTTGGGGTGGGAAAGCCACAGTGTGTGAGCTGTGTCAGCATGGCCTCAGTCCTCATCACATCCAGGATGTGAGCTTCAGAATTCCCACATAAGAGAAGGAGCTGAGGCTCAGGGACTAACCTGCCTGGTATCTCCCAGATAGGAAAGAGGAGGAACTTGGGGCAGTAGAGTCAGCTATGGGGGTCCCAGCTCCACTACCCAAGGGCAGCAGAGCTACTGGGAGAAAGGGCCTTAAAGCATCCACTCAAGAGGTGCAGGCCAGGGAGCTGCAGCTCCCACCTCAGTCCCCACAACAGTGTGTGACTCCTCTTGGTTCCCTAGCATTACTTGATTAGTGCTGACACCCACAAAAGCATTTCCAAACTCAGTTCTGTTAGTCACTGGCATCCTACAACTGATTGACAGTAGTCTTTTCTTCCTCCTGACTAAGGATAACATGTCACAAATATCCGGTGAGTATAAACATGCTCAGAGAATCTAAGAAAGTTGCTGTGGTAGTTTGAATGTAATTGGCTCCCATAAGCTCATGAGGAGGTGTGGCTTTGTTGGAGTGGGTATGGCCTTGTTGGAGGAAGTATGTCACTGTGGGAATGGACTTTGAGGTCTTCTATGCCCAAGCTACAGTGACACAATCCTTTCCTGTTGCCTGCAGATCAAGATACAGAACTCTCAGCTCCTTCTCCAGCACTACGTCTGCCTGCATGCCACCATGTCCCACCCGGATGATAACAGACTAAACCCCTGAAACTGTAAGCCACCCCAATTAGATGTTTTCCTTTATAAGAGTTGTGGTCAGCCGGGCGGTGGTGGCGCACGCCTTTAATCCCAGCACTCGGGAGGCAGAGCCAGGCGGATCTCTGTGAGTTCGAGGCCAGCCTGGGCTACCAAGTGAGTTCCAGGAAAAGGCGCAAAGCTACACAGAGAAACCCTGTCTCGAAAAAAAAAAAAAAAAAAAAAAAAAAAAAAAAAAAAAAAATAAGAGTTGTGGTCATGGTGTCTCTTCACAGCAATAGAAACCCTAACTAAGACAGTTGGCCTGTGTTGCCGTGTTAATGGTTAGTTAAAATTGTCAACTTGAGAATCTACAATCACCTGGGAAGAGTCTCAAGAAGGGACTGTCTAGATCAGGATGGCCTATGGGCATGTCTGTGGGAGTCTATCTCGATTACATTCATTGAGGTGGGAGGACCACACTGGGTAGCACCATTCCCTCGGTCAGGGTGGAGAAACTGAACTGCACACTAGTAATCGTGCATTCACTCATTGCTTTCCGCCCTTCACTGTGAATGTGATATGTTCTCTGGAGCTCCTGCTGCTGTGACTTCCTGCCATAATGGACTGACTTGGACTTGTGAGCCAAAGTAACCCCTTCCTCCTCAAAGTCGCTTTTGTCAGGGTGTCAGTCACAGCAACAGGAAACAAAACTAAGACACACAGCTGCTTAGTGAATGAGCTAGAGCTAGTCTGTACCCCAGAGATTTGATGCAGCAGTCCTGGAAGGGGAGTGGCGTGGCAGACTCTGCTCACCTTGTCATAGGTGTAGGCAAGGTCCATGGAAGAGATGCCCAGGAAGTGGATGAATGAGGCATAGTCACTGCCTGCACCCAGTGTACCCAGGCTAGAGGAGGGAAGAGAATAACATTTGGAGGGTGCCTGATGAACGTGCTGGGCCTATGGTCCTGCCTTTCTGGTTTGGGGGCTCACCTGGGGACCAGGCCATACACTGGACTGCTGCGGTTGGTATATCGGAGCCAGTTGTCATAGATACTGAGGCTGCTGGGACCTGGTGCACTGATCTGGTACAGAGAGAAACACCTGATGGCTCAGGAAACGCAGCCTCACAACTGGACGGGGTGGGTCTCTGCCAGACTCCAGTCTCCAGATCCACTGTGATCCTGGCCCAGTCCTGCCTACCCCACCAGATCATCACACCCCCCTTGTACCTCTTTGGTGGCAGAAAAGATCACGCTTTGTACAGGGGGCGTCCCCTGTGCCCTGAGGGTAGCATTGGCTGTGGGAGGAATCAAGGAGACCTGTTCAGACCCAGCTCCTCCCTTTTCCAGCCCACCTCGGCTGGCAGAACCTCCCCTACCGAACACGGAGATGTCCACATTGATGTAGGCCACTGTGCGCTCCTGCAGCTTGCTGAGGAACTCCTGCAGGGTGGGGGAACACCTCAGTCTGTTACAGCCCCATCCAAGAACCCCTTCCACCCGTTCCTCTGTGGGGTTCACTCACCTCTGTGAATTCCGTAGAGCCAATGAGCCCGAATTCCTCTGCCCCCCAGCTGGCGAAGATGATGGATCTGCGGGGTCGCCAGGTGCCTGGAGAGAAGAAGGCATGAGGAGTCGGAGGGCAGGGTCCTCTGACTTCAGGAGTAGGCTGGGGACATGGAAGGGATGGAAGAGCTAGAAAAGGTGTGCAGCTGGCCAGGCGGCAGTGGCACAGGCCTTTAAGCCCAGCACTCAGGAGGCAGAGCCAGGCGGATCTCTGTGAGTTCGAGGCCAGCCTGGGCTACCAAGTGAGTTCCAGGAAAGGCGCAAAGCTACACAGAGAAACCCTGTCTCGAAAAAACCAAAAAAAAAAAAAAAACACAAACAAAAAGAAAAAAGAAACGGTGTGCAGCCTGTGTCAGGGACCCTAGTCCCCTCCTGCCAGCATTCCAGGAGGAGTCTTCTTTCTAGCCTCCCACTCTCAACACACTCTACCCCGGGAATCCCTGCGTCAGGGTCTCTTTTGGTCAGAATGCCCCACCTCCTCTCTGGTTCATGGTAGACCTGCTTTGAGGGAATTTGAACTTCTACCCTCAATCTCAAAGCATCCCAGGAAATATTTGTTGATAATACATTGGTATTTGTCCAATGGCTTTATCCCAAACCAACCCTTACAACAGTATCTTTCCATTTCACAGTTGAAGAAACTGAGGCAGAGAGAACTTAAATGATTTGCCCAGGGTCATAGCCAGTAGGCAGCAGAGCCACATTCAAATCCAGACATCTGCCTCCAGAGGCCTACGATTTATCCAGGGGCCCACCCTGCCTCCCACAGCATCCTGCAGCCTGGCTTCCATCTCCAGGCTACCTACCCACAGTGTGCTAGCCACACCCAAAGACCCCCTCATCGACACCATATTCCCTCAGCTCCACATGCTCCCTGTTTTTTGTCACCTCTGGCTGCAGCTGGATCATTTGGTCATTCTTGTTGAGTCTTACACTGTTGTTCTCTGTTTTTGTTTTTTTGCTTGTTTGTTTGTTTTTTAAATTTTCTGGAGCTGAGGACCGAACCCAGGGCCTTGTGCTTGCTAGGCAAGCGCTCTACCACTGAGCTAAACCCCCAGCCCCACTGTTGTTCTCTGAAACGGGGTCGTGCTATAGAGTTCAGTCTGGCCTAGAACTACTTGTGTAGCACAGGTTGGTCTTAAACTCACCATCCTCCTGCCTCAGCGTCCCCAGTGTTAAGATCACAGGCATGTGCTACCATGAGAGATCTCATCTTTTTTGTATCAGAGCCTGACTCCAAATTCACTATGTAGCTGAGGTTGACTCTGAACTCCTAATTCTCCTGCCTCCACTGGGATCCAAGTGCTGGGATCCCATCCAGGGCTTCTCACTCGGCAAGCTGTTTACCAACTGACCTGCGACCCCAACCCTTCACTTACTTATTTACTTGAGATAGTCTCACTCTGTAGACTAGGCCTTGAACTCCTGGCACTCCTCCTGCCTCAGCCCCCTGAGGTCTGAGCTTACACTCATCTTTTGGCTTAAGGAAGAAAAATAAACTTTATATATAGTTTGACTGCATCTTTGCGGCTACAAATCCCCACACTTTTTCTTGCCAGAAATTACCATCAGGCTCACCCAGACTCAGGGAAATGCAACAAATGCCAGCATCTTGAAAGACAAGAACAGCTAAGGAGCTGCCTAGAGACGAAAGGGCACAAGGGAGACAGGATCGCCAAGGTTCTCCTGTGTGGGAGGCAGTGTATGTGTGCAGTCCAGGTTAGCTTTGTTTACGGTTTTGGTGTTTTTCGTTGTTGTTTTCTCATTTCCAGAAAGCACATATCTCCACACCATTTCTTAGTATTTCCTGACCATCTATAGGAGAATCCATTATTTGGATTCTGTCTACTTTGATGTATTAAACTATAATAAATGCATAAAGAAAATATTAGCTATGTCCAAGTAACCCTTTAGTTTTTTGGATGAGGTCTCCACAGCCGGAAACTCACCAAGTGGGCTAGACTGGCTGGTCTCGCTCAGAGCTCCAGGGGTCTGCTTGTCTGTCCCCAGCTCATCACTTGACTCCTCAGCTGATCTTGGCTGCATCTGCTTGACCTCCCGTCATTGCTAACACTCTCCAGTTCATGTCTCAAGTGCCGTTTCCAACCTGGACACAGACACCCCCAACCTCCTTCCTGCCCGCTCCTCTGGGTGCCACTGTCCCTGGCTGCTCAGCTTCCTTCCTAGCTACGACCCCTTGCCCTACCTGAGAATCCACTACCCCTTCCCCTGAGAGATTCTGGTGCCGGAATGTCACCAGAATAGTTTGCCATGCCTTAAAAGGCATGGCACCCTCTGGGCAGAGGCTGGGCAGACCATGTTTACAGCCTGTGGGGCTAACTCTACCAGGACACACAGGAAGCTCCTGAAGATGGCTGCATATATCAGTAATCTGTTCCTTGAGCCCTGAGACTCCTTAGGCCAGGGGCTGGTACCCAGGAGCTTATGTTTCCGGGGCTCATGGCCTGGCTCAGGTGAGCCCTGAAGATGGAGGAAACAGAAGAAGTGGGCTAGAAATGACTCTGGGGCTTCTGGGGGAGTGACCAGGAGAGAGGACAGCCTCACCCTTCTTTAGCAAGGTCCCCAGGACTCGGGAGATCTCCAGGAGAACAGCAGTGCCGCTGCTGGGATCCACCGCTCCATGTACCCAGCTGTCCCGATGGTTTCCATAGATCACATAACGATCTGAAGGGAGGACCAGAGTCAGGGGCACAGAGAAAGGACAGCAGAGGACAGTCAGACCAAGGTGGGCTGCAACCAGGCCAGGACCCAGGGAGACTTGCAGGGGAGTGGTAGGGCTTGGGCCAGGGGCTCACCAGGTTCCACAGCCCCCTGGATGATGCCCAGGACGTTGGAGGAGGGTCTCAGCTCCAGAGTGTTGTGGACACTCACTTTCACCTCACTAGGGAGTGGGATGAAGGATATGATTAAAATTTAAGCCCTCTCCTGTCCCCTTATCAAATTCAGGAGAAAGTGAGGCCAAGAGAGGTGATGGTAGTCACTTGCCCAGTAGGACCAAGAAAAGCAGTAAACAAAGCCTTTGGGTTGGGAGCCTCCTTGGCTTGGGAAGAAGGGACACTTGGTAGCAGGAATGCTCAGATGGGGAAGCTGACATTGGCCAAGAGTGCACTGCCCAGGTCCTGGAGCATGTTCAAAGGAGGCAGTGGCTGGAGCGGGAAGTGGGTGGGAGGGGCGGGGAGACCTCCTGGGTTTGGAGGGTCATAGCCCTTTCAGTAAGCTTCCCCCAAAGACCAAGCTGTTCTGGAGAGGGCTGGAGGATGGTCTTGAAGAGGGAAGAAGGAAAGTCAGGTAAGAGGCATCAGGGAAGAAGGGAGTTGGGGGACCTGGAGGGAAGAGAGAAGCCCCCTCACCTGTGTGCTGGGAAGCTCCCGTCCTGCTTGAAGCCGGGCCCCAGCTTATAGTCACAGCCCAACTTTCCCTGCCAGGAATCTGGGGCAGAGGCTCCAGTGAGGTTACTGGGAAGGAAGAGAGTGCCTGTGAGGGTAAGTTTGGCATCTGCAGGTGTCTGCGGACAGGCAAAGGACTGGGCACAGGCTCACCAGAGCAGGTCTTTTGCATCCTCAAAGCCAATGGGCTGGGCAGGAATTGGGGGAAATCCCGAGATGTTGTTAAGATCCAGGCGGAAAGTAGAAGGGTGAGCTGGAAGGTAGGGAGTCAGAGGGTCCCCAAAATACTCATAGTAGGAGCCTCTCTCCACACCAGAGGGAGGCAGCCCCCAGGAGTTGGGGAAGGTCTCGGTGGGCAAGCTCTTCCCATCATTGATATCGCCAGGGTCTGTGTACACCAGCACTCCGACCACTCCGTGTTTGGCAGCATTAATGGCCTGCAGAAGGCACAGAGGAGGCTGTGTGTAAGTGACAGATGGGGACAGGCATGCCCTATGCCTCCTCCTGTACCAGGCTTTTTCTTTTGGGCCACCAGCCAGCTCCCAAATCATGCATGACACAGAGACTTCTTATTAGTTGTGAATGCTCAGCCTAGCTTAGGCTCATTTCTGGCTAGGTCTTTTAACTTAACCTGTTTCTCTTCATCTTCATTTTTTTTTTCCTGAGATAGGGTTTCTCTGTGTAGTTTTGGTGCCTGTCCTGGATCTTGCTCTGTAGAATAGGCTGACCTCGAACTCACAGAGATCCTCCTGCCTCTGCCTCCCCAGTGCTAGGATTAAAGGTATGTGCCACCTTCACCACCCGGAAAATATATGATTACACTTGTAACTCCATCACAGAAGGATCAGATGCCCTCTTCTGGCCACTGAAGGCACCCACACAACACAAACATGCACATAGACACATAAACAAACAAACGTCTGAAGTCCTTTCTCACTGAAAAATAAATAAGTTGGCAGGGATAGACAGAGTACTAGCTGCACCAGACTATGGTGTCACACACTAGGGAGGCAGAGGCAGGTGGATCTCAAATTCAAGACTAGCCTGCTAAACAAAGCAAGTTACAGGACAGCCAAGGCCACACAGAGAAACCCTGTCTGGAAAAACAAAAACAAAACAAAACAAAAGAGCACTGGCTGCTCTTCCAGTACACCTGGGTGCAGTTTCCAGCACAAAACTATCCGTAACTCCAATTCCAGGCGATCTAATGCCCTCTCTGGCCGCTGTGGGTACTGCATTTATATTCGGGCAAAACACTCATACACATCAATTAAAATTACAAAAGGAAGTGGAGTTGAGGATATTAGAGGCCTGTGGTGCGATGGGAGAAGAAGACATTGTTAAATGGAATTTCGATTTCAATAAAACAAAACAAAGCAGGTGTGGTGGCACATGCCTTTAATCCCAACGCTCAGATCTCTGTGAGTTTGAGGCCAGCCTGGTCTACAAATCCAGTCCCAGGACAGCCAGGGCTGTTACACAGAAAAACCCTGCCCCCCCCAAAAAAAGAGTAAAGATACATTTTATTATTTATTTAAATTGTGTGTGTGCATATGTGTCCGTATGTCTCTAAGTGGGTATGTGCGCAAGTGCCAGTGCCTGAGGAGGCCAGAGGTGCCAGATCCCATTGGAACTGGAGTTTCGGGTAGTTGTGAGCCACCTGACGGGGTCTGGGAACTGAACTCAAGCCCTCTGCAAGAGCAGTATGTACTTTTAGTAGCTGAGTCATCTCCAGAGCCCCTGGAATGTTGGTTTCAAACAATGCTAAGGTGCTGAACATGGACAGTAATGATGGTGCATTGTGGCGGCATTCCTGCTGAGCTCCTGGCTTGGCTCCAGAGAGCAGCACCTAGCCCTAATCCTTCCTATGTTTAACCACACCTTTTGTTTCTCTGATCGCCCTATTTGAATAAACTACCTAAATTGTAAAAAAAAAAAAAAAAAAAAAAAAAAAAAGTAAACAAATATGCCCTAGGTGAAGAGAAAAGGGCTTCAGTCCTTCGAGGCTGAACCCCCCTACAGCCATAATAGGCTAAATTCATTCTTAAGATCCCCCTGTGTCTTCATTCCACGGACCCGCGTGAACCCACACACTGTAGCGACCACACAGCTACAGTGCATATCGCCGAGGTTCTTAACACACTGTAGACTCTGAAACTGTGACAGCCAAGCCAGGTATGGTAGCTCACAATTGTAATCCTAGCACTCAGAAGGCTGAAGCAGGAGGATCACCTTGAGTTGGAGGTAAGCCTGGGCTACATAGTGAGTTCTAGGCTAGCCTGGGCTGTAGCGTAAGGCCTTTTCAAAATCTTCCCCACACATCATTAAAAAAAAAGGTGAGCGTCGCACCGAGCGTGGTGGTGCACAATTGCAGCCCCAGAACTTGGGAGGTTGAGGCAGGAGGATTGGGAGTTCAAGATTAACTATTAGCTAGGTTTGGCTACATAATGAGACTCCAAAACAATGAAAAAACAAGCAAACCAACAAAAAGGAGATTAGCCATTACTAACTTGGTAACTACGCAAACCTCTAATACCAGCATGTGGTGGGTGGGGCAGCAGGGTCAGAAGCTCAGGGTCATCCTTAGCTACACAGTAAACTCAGGGCCAGCCTTTGCTACATGAGAAAAGGAAAATAAACTCCTCCCCACGTTGCTTTTGTCATGGTATTTATCACAGCGACAGGAACCCTGACTAAGCCAAGCAGTGGCCCACGCCTTTAAACCCAGCACTCGGGAGGCAGAGGCAGGAGGATCGCTGTGAGTTCCAGGCCAGTCTGGGCTACAGAGTGAGATCCAGGACAGCCAGAGACACCCTCCCCGTCTTGAAAAACCAAAAAGGAAAAGAAAAAAAGAAAGAACCCTGACTAGGCTGAGATACCTCCCTTGAAGAGCTGGGGAGGAGAGCAAACAGCAGCTGTCCCAGCCTTCCCTTTCTCTTATTTTTGTTTGTTTCTCTCTCTTTCTGTATACAAGTGGCTGTGGACAGGATCACTTTCCACCTTATTTTTGTTTGTTTAGGTTGCTGGTTTTATTTGTTTAGTCCTACCTGTCTTGGAATTCTCTACATAGACCAAGTTAAAGTCAAGCAGATCCTACTGTCTTTGCTGGAATTAAAGCTGTGTGCCATCACCCGTGGCTTTTTTTTTTTTTTTTTCAACCTGAAAAACACTCTGTAGCCCAGGCTGGCCTGGAACTCACAGAGACCTTTCTGCCTCTGCCTCCCTCTTCAGGGATTAAAGGCGTGCTCCGTTTTCACCTTATTTTTTTCAGATAGCCTCTCTTCCTGAAACCTAAAGCTTTCCAGTTTGGCTAGACTGGCCGCCATCCATGGAACCCAGGACCCTCTGTATTGCAGAAAAGAGCCTGCAGGATGTGTCCAGGCCCCGGAGTACACAGTTGGTATCATCAGACACCAAGTAGACTCTGGGTCTGAGCTCAGCACCCCGAGGAGGAGCAGGCCATGCAGAGACACAAACATTGCAAGTCTCCTAAGCGTGGCTGGCCCTGAGCAGGGGGGCCTGACTGAGCTCCAGAATGACTGCCTGCCTCTGTCTCTCCCCCAGTCTCTCTGGGTAATCCCCTGCTGGGGAGGAAATGCCCATTTTTAAGATGTTAGCCTGCTGCTTTCGCAGATGGCCAGGTCTCTGAATAAAACACAGCTGAAAGAGTCAATTCCTGGGCAGGTAAGCTGGCACAGCGGGTAAAAGGGGCTTGCCGCCAAGCCTGACACCCCAAGATCAACACCCAGGACGTACAGAGTGGAAGGAGAGAACTGACTCCTGCAAGTTGTCCTCTGTTCCCACACACACACAAACATTCTCCTGCTCAAATAAATAAGTAAATAAATGTAAAAAAGGTTTAAAAAAGACTTTCTAAACATCTTTTTAAAATTTGCCAATTAGCTGGGCAGTGGTGGTACACATCTTTCATTAATCCCAGCTCTCTGGTGGCAGAGGCAGGCAGATCTCTGTGAGTTCGAGGATAGCCAGGGCTACACAGAGATACCCTGTCTTGAGGGGGAAAAAAAAAATTTTAAAAAAGAAGAACTTAAGAGCTTGGGTTTTTGACTCTCTTGGCCCTTGGGGTACCAGGCAGCATGAGCCGGGGTCTTCAGGGACACCAGCCCACATAAGCCCCAGCTCGGCCCCTTCCCTCTCCTAGCAACGCTTCCTCTCTGCTCTCCTCCTCTTGTTTTTCTGTCCATCCCTGGCCCTTCTCCACCAGGTCCCAGCATGGTGAATGCTACTCACCTTGGCTCCACGCCCCACACCCCCATAGCGAGTCAGGGCAATGGTGCCTTCAAGGTTGATGCCCCGAGTCTCTAGCTCCTTGAAGTCCTCTTCGGAGCCTTGGTTGGCATAGACGAGGAGGCCCTAATCCCAAAAGGAGAGATCTGTAGGCCAGGCTTGGCCAAAGGCAGGTACAAAGGGGGACAAAGGTTGAACAGCAGCAACAAGAATTTTGGTTCTCTTTCCTCCTCACCCAAAGATATGTGTACCCCCCAAAATGGCTCCCCTCTTCTCTATCTAGGTGCCTATACCAGGCTTTAAGCAGGGAGCACTAACTAGTGTTTGTTGAATGATTAAAGGATAGGAATAACAACAGCATGTGTAAGATCAGTGGCGGGGGGGGGTTGGGCTCCACTTGAAGCATTTCTCAGATGCCTCTGCTTTAGAGCAGGAAGAGGGGGAACCAAGGAGAACTAGAATATGGTAGTGGGGGATCCAGGCTCACCTTTGGGGCCCCAGGGGGTGCGTAGGCAGCATAAGGTTGCAACACATTGGGCCCCACCTGCTCCCCAGTCAGATTTTTCTCTCCGGGTTGGAAGGAGTGGAAGACCATTCCATTGGGGCCCACTGTGTGAGAAGGTTGGGTCAGCACTGGGCCCAGCAGCAGCCCTCACCACCCCGGCATTCCTGGACAGGACCTCACCGACTTCCACAATGTTCGGTTGCTCCGGGCTGGGGAAGGAGAGCAGGACCTTATACTCATAGGTCTTGGCTGAGTCCAAGCCAGTCTCAGTATCCTGCCAGCGTTCCAGCAGCAGATGCACCAGGGCCTCATCCCGAGCGCTGGAGGCCACATGTGGCTCCTTGGAGAGTTCTCTGCAGGGTGAGCAGGGGAGGGTGGAGTCTGTCAGGGGAGGCCTCTGGCTAACAGGGGTTTGGGAGGACCCACCTCTTACCGAAGGTTCTCTCGGATCCTGCTGGCATCTAGTTGTCCCATTACCAAGTCAAGAATGGCCAGGTCCAGGTCCTGGGAGTCTGAAGTGTTGGGGGCCAGAGGGTCACTTGCTTTGGGGATGGCAAAGTGGCCCAGGATTATCCCCAGCCCCAAGAGGGCGGCAGCCCCAAGGGCCACCCCCAGGATTTTCACCCAGTGCATCCTGTGGAAACAGCCCAGCAGCCCTGGCTGGGCTTCCTTATATAGGGGTGTCTAGCTGGTTAACCATTACTCACGAGTGGTGCTGTTCTTTTACCCCTGCAGTGAAGAACCAGGGAACATCCTGCAGTACCAGCCAGGAGCTGACAACTGAACCACATTTTATGTTGTTCACCTGGAAGGGCTCTCTGAAGGAACCAGGACAATTCGGGGACACTACAGCTGGCAAAGGGCATGGCCCTTCCATGGTTCCCCTGCCAAACTGATACCACAGGTCCGGGACATCTGGGACCCTGCTGACCCCCCCACTGGGAACCCTGACATCTTTGCGTCCTCACCGAGGCCATTCAGTCTCCGACACTGGTGCCTTGATGGCCTGAGCAGACTTTTTAGTCAAATGATGTCATTTGCTGGACAAGCTGTGTCATGTTAGACAATTCACTTAGCTTCTCTGAGTCCATTTTCCTCACTAGAAAACCGTGCTGTCACAGGCTTCATGAAGAAGACGCCGTCTGTGGAGATGTCTCCAGCCCAGTGTCAGAGCGTGAAAGGAGGGAAAGGCTGGCAGGATTTTCTGTTTCTGCCTCTCAGAAGGTCCAGTTCGTGGGAGGAAGTGGGACTCTTGAAGGGGAGCCTAAACCTTGCAGAATCTAATTCAGGAAGCCCACATCACCCAGGCAAAGCATGGTTCTCCATCCCCAGATGTGGAATTTACCCATCATCCTTTTTTTTTTTTTTTCATATTGTGTAGCCCTGGGTGGCCTACAACTCTGTAGATCAGGCTGGTCTCAAACTCACAGACATCTGCCAGCCTCTCCCACTTCTGCTGGGATTAAAGGGTGCACCACCATGCTCTGCTCTCATCCATCCTTCCTCCCATCCACTGGTCTTCCTCTTCCACCCTCCCACTTACCCCCTTACTCCAAACCACCTCTCCATCCACCCATTTTCTTATCTATTTCCTCCTATGCTTTTACCTTCATTTATTCAGCCCTAAGCTAGCTTCATGGCAGGCCCTGGGGAAGCAAAGTCCAGTGGGAGAGAGAGACAGGCTTGATGATTATCAGGGCCCAGACTGTGGCCTTGGGTCTTATCAGAAGATTGTCAATTTGGAGAGCACATACCTTTCTTAGAAGGAACTGGGGGACAGTTGCTAAGGTTAGCTGATAAACTGAACAACAGAGGCTCAGATGACACTCGGTACAGACACACCCTGTCCTGAAGGAGTTAGTTCTTTGAACATTTGAAGCCATAGGTGAGACACCGAGTCAAGAGCGAGTGTGCAGCTGTGCTTGAGTCTGGTTTGGGTCTCAGAGCATGCGTAGTGAACAACATTTGAGAAATTAACTCAGGCCAGCCTTGATGGTACCTGCAGTCACAGCCCTCTGGAGGTGGAAGCAGGGGGACTGCGAGTTCCAGACCAGCCTAGGAAAGAGTGAGCTTGAGGCCAGCCCCATGAGACCCTGCCTTAAAAAAAAGAGTGTCAGGTTGATTAGCTTGAACTGTTTAGGAGGCACCCAGGCAGTGGGACCAGGACCTGTCCCCAGTGCATGAGTTGGCTGTTTGGAACCTGGGGCTTATACAGGGACACTTTGCTTAGCCTAGGAGGAGGGGACTGGACCTGCCTGGACTGAATCTACCAGGTTGAACTGAATCCCCAGAGGAGTCTTTGCCCTGGAGGAGATGGGAATGGGGGGTGGGCTGGGGGGAAGATGTGGGGGGCGGCGGCGGGAGCGGGGAGGACAGGGGAATCCATGGCTGATATGTAAAATTAAATTAAATTATAAAATAAAAAGATAAAAAAAGGAAAGAAAGCAAGTAAAAAAGTGTCAGGAAGAAGGCCCAGTCAGTGGAACACCTCTGTGAAGCATGAGGGCCTGAGTTCCATCCCCAGCGTCTCGGTATAAGGCTGGGCACAGTGGCTCCCATCTATACCCCAACACCAGGGTTGGGGAGTGGAGAGGGAATCCTCGGGGTCTTCTGGCCAGCCAATACAGGGATACAGTACAAACCAGCCATACAAACCAGGGAGCTCCAGGTTCAATAGAGACCCGATCTCAAGAGATAAGATGGAGGGACTGGAGATGATTCTGCATGTATAGGACCCAGGTTCAGTTCCTAGAACCAATATGGTGGCTCACACCCAGTCCCCCTAACTCCAGAGGATCTGATGCCCTCGTCTGGCCTCTGCAGGCACCAGCATGCACTTGGTACACAAACATGCATGCAGGCAAAACATCCATACAAATAAAACAAGTCTTCTGTGTTGTTTTGTTTTTTGAGACAGGGTCTCACTCTGGCTGTCCTGAAACTTGCTCTGTAGACCAGTCTGGCCTCAAACTCAGAGATCCACCAGCCCCTGCCTCTTGAGTGCTGGGATTAAAGGCATGTGCCACATCCACCCAGTTAAAAATAAATAGATCTTTAAAAATAAAGGTGGAGGGCTGGAGAGATGGCTCAGAGGTTAAGAGCACTGACTGCTCTTCCAAAGGTCCTGAGTTCAATTCCCAGCAACCACATGGTGGCTCACACCCATCTGTAATGAGATCTGGTGCCCTCTTCTGGCCTGCAGTCACATATGCTGTATACATAATAAATAAATAAATCTTTAAAAAAATAAATAAAGGTGGAGCTGGGCGGTAGTAGTACATGCCTTTAATCCCAGCACTTGGAGGTGGAGGCAAGTGGATCTCTGTGAGTTCCAGGCCAACCTGGTCTACAGAGAGAGTTCCAGGCCAGCCAGGGCAGTTATACAGAGAAACCCTGTCTCAAAAATAAATAAATAAATAAATAAATAAATAAATAAATAAACAAGTAAGTAAAGGTAGTAAGGGATAAAGGAAGACACTGACATTGACCTCTGACCTCTGCACACATATGCACAAATGTACACAAACATTCACTGATGCATATACAATACACTGTACTCAAAGGAAAGAAGTCAGCTCGAGCTGTTGGAATCATTTAGTGTCTACACTTCCATAGACATTCAGACACCTTGGCTGGATGGGCACTATAACCCTGGCTCCGAACATTCTAGGCTGTGGGCACTGGTGGAACTTAGTGCGGAGCTAAAGCCTGTGAGCTTCCTCCTTCCCTCCCTCCGTTGGTGACAGGGCCACTGAGCTCCTTCCCACCCGTTATCCCTTCTCTCCCGGCCCAGCCTCTGACCCTCCATCTGAAAGGACCAAGCAGATGCCATAACAGGCTGCTCAGTCTTCTCTCAGAGATCAGGCCTCAATTTCAGTTTCCTGAGACTTGAGCAAGCAGTTTCTGGGAGGGCCATGAACAAAAGACATAGTCCTTGCAGTAGCTCCCTTTCTGCACGTACTCTGACTGCTCAAAGTTCAGCCAGATGTTTACTGTCTGGGGCCCCTCACCAACTTAGAGTTATGTGCATGACGTGCTAGGCCAGCCAGCCCCCATGGCAGCTCAAGGACAAAGCCTGGGGCTTGTGCTGGACTGCCCCCAAAGTGATAATTATAACCACCAACCAGTAAATTCATTACATACCCTCACCCAATTAAAAGAGAGCAGAGATAAAAATAAATCAATCCGAATTGCACCCATGCAAAACCCCCTGAAGGGCTTGTGGATTTTACCTTTAAAAAGCTAGCCTCGGCTTATCCATTGCACTTCGGATGTGCTGACCCCTGCGATTTCCCCAAATGCGGGAAACTCGACTGCATAATTTGTGGTAGTGGGGGACTGCGTTAGCGCTCTCCCCTGTGAAGAAAGAAAGAAAGAAAAAAAAGCTAAGCCGGGCAGTGGTGGCACACGCCTTTAATCCCAGCACTCGGGAGGCAGAGACAGGCGGATCTCTATGAGTTCGAGGCCAGCCTGGGCTACCAAGTGAGTTCCAGGAAAGGCGCAAAGCTACACAGAGAAACCCTGTCTCGAAAGACAAACAAACAAACAAACAAACAAAAAAGCTAGCCTCACAAAGAAAGAGCAATTCCTCCCTGCTTCACTGTATTGGGTGCAGGAATGAGTTCCCTGTCTAGACTTGTATCTACAGAATAAACCTTGCTGTTGCATTCTGGACACCTATGGTCTTCCGTGGTCTCTTTGGGGTCCCAATCTGGGCATAACACATCCTCTTTGAAGCCGGGCAGTGGTGGCGCACGCCTTTAATCCCAGCACTCGGGAGGCAGAGGCAGGTGGATCTCTGAGTTCGAGGCCAGCCTAGTCTCCAAAGCGAGTTCCAGGAAAGGCGCAAAACTACACAGAGAAACCCTGTCTCGCAAAACAAAGCAAAACAAAAAACAAAACAAAACAAAACCACTGTCTCGAAAAAAACAAATCCTCTTTGCTTCAGCCACCAACAGTGAAAAAAACACCCTATACCTCTGCTGTAATGTCACGTGACTGAGGTGTGTGTCAGACAGCACGTGTGACATTGCCTCACATTTGGGAATGCCCATTTAGACCACAAGAGCAGCAGGACGGGACCTAGCTCCCTTCCCAATGACATCTCTGAGCACAACCAGAAAACCATCTTAAGCTTCCGAGGGTCCTCCTTCCTCAAGTCCGAACAAGGTCCTCCCACTGCCCTGGCTGCGCCCACAGGTCTTACACTGTCTCTTCTGATTTTAAAATGCTAGTTACGAAGCAGAGAGATAGCTCGGCAGTTAAGAGCACTGACTGCTCTTCCAGGGGTCCTGGGTTCAATTCCCAGTACCCATATGGCAGCTCACAACTGTCTGTAACACCAGTTCCAGGGACCCAACACCCTCACACAGACATAGATTCAGGCAAAACACCAATGGGCATAAAATAAAAATAAATTTAAAAAAAACATGATTGTTTGTTTGTTTGTTTGTTTGTTTAAATACTAGCTATGTGGACCTGGTGTGGAGATGCACACCCTTAGTCCCAGCACTTGGGAGGCAGAGGCAGGCAGATCTCTGTGAGTTACAGAACAGTAAGGGCTGTTATACAGAGAAACTCTGTCTCAAAAAAACCAAAACAAAGCCGGGCGGTGGTGGCGCACGCCTTTAATCCCAGCACTCGGGAGGCAGAGCCAGGCGGATCTCTGTGAGTTCGAGGCCAGCCTGGGCTACCAAGTGAGTTCCAGGAGAGGCGCAAAGCTACACAGAGAAACCCTGTCTCGAAAAAACCAAAAAAAAAAAAAAAAAAAAAAAAACCAAAACAAGGACTGGAGAGACGGCTCAGAGGTTAAGAGCACAGGCTGCTCTTCCAGAGGCTGGGAGTTCAATTCCCAGCAACCACATGGTGGCTCACAACCATCTATATGGTTGCCCTCTTCTGGCATGCAGGAATACATTCAGGCAGAACACTGTCTACCTAATAAATAAATCTTAATAAATAAATAAATCTTAAAACAACAACAACAAAACTAGGTATGTATATGTATGTGTCCATATCGCAGCCAACACGCAGAGATCAGAGGAGGGCTTGGTAACAAGTCCATTACCCACTGAGCCATGTTGCCAGCCCTCTTCTCTCTCGTTTTTTTTTTTTTTTTTTTTCAGAGTCTTTGCTCTTTGCTTTTACATATGGCATTCAGTCTCCTTAGTGGTTTTGGGGGTCTCTGTGATCTGAGCATAACAGTATGCATATGCTAAGCAAACACACATACACACACAAAAAAACAACAAACCCTGCTTCTCCTAGGCCTCTCCAGAGAGGGCAGAGAATAATCAGAATTCACTAGGATAAGTCACCTTGAATCCTGTGACCCCAACAGGAGCCTGTCGTCAACTGTGCTACCGATGGAGTACGTCCGGTCACGGTCCCTCAGCGGCCGTGATTAGAGTGGAAAGCAGGGATGAGGCTGGCTCCACACTCACTCAGCGGCTGTCCCGTTTGGTCTCCAGACGGTGCCACACTGGCTCTGCACTTCCTGAAGATGGCGCCAGAGGATCAGAGGAGGGTCTGTCAGCCAACCCAGCGTCTGGAGGACCAAGAAGTCTGGAGGACCGGACACAGTGTTTTGGTGGACACCAAAACTTCTTTTGACTACCAGATCCCGGGAAGCCAACTGAGTGTGAACTGAGAGGCCCTCTAAAGCCTCCACGGCTCCTCGGTGGTGGGACTTGGATTTGAAAGAGACTATTAGGCGGATACTGCCCGGTGGCAGGGTCAACAGGAGTGCCATCTGGACTGAGTGTAGAACAACGCAACTCTGAAGCCCAGAGCCTTAGGGCCAGGGGAGCTAGGGCCATCTTTTTTTTTTTTTTTTTGTCTTTTGATTTTGTTTTTGTTTTTTTGTTTTTTTTCGAGACAGGGTTTCTCTGTGTAGCTTTGCGCCTGTCCTGGAACTCACTTGGTAGCCCAGGCTGGCCTCGAACTCACAGAGATCCGCCTGGCTCTGCCTCCCGAGTGCTGGGATTAAAGGCGTGCGCCACCACCGAGACAGGGTTTCTCTGTGTAGATTTGGTGTCTTTCCTGGATCTCACTCTGTAGACCAGGCTGGCCTCGAACTCACAAAGATCCGCCTGGCTCTGCCTCCCGAGTACTGGGATTAAAGGCGTGCACCACCACCGCCCAGCCAGAGCTAGGGCCATCTATACCCCTGTGGCTGTGAGCTAGCTGGAGGCAGCCCGGCAGCCTTGGTAGTACCTAAGAGCCTGCTTTCGGGGGTTCCCAGGCCTGAGGCCTGTTAGAGGGAACAGGTAAGTCAGGTCACAATGATCTGCTCTCGATGGAAGTCCCTACGATGGGGTACTCCTTCCCTGGAACCCCTCAAACTTTCCGATGTTTCTTTTTTTCTTTAAAGATTTTATTTATTTATTATGTATACAATGTTCTGTCTGCAGGGAAGTTGTTACAGTTCTGCTCCGGTTTCCCGGAATTGTCCACTCTGCTAGGGGAAGGTTTTCCCAAGGAAAGTATTACAGCTCAGCTCCGCTCTGCCCAGGTTGGTCTCTGCTCCGGAGAAAGAAGGTCTCACCTAAACTTCAAGAGATTTATTGGGAGGGAAGATCCAGGAAAGGGGCTTCCTCAGCCAGGGTGAAAAAGGGGCAGCCACAAACTAAACAGACATAGGGCTTCTTAGGGGCGCAGTTTTTCCAGGAAGATGATTTTCAGATGGGCATTGGTCAGATTTCAGGTCTTGAGCTCAGATTGGATAGATCTCGTGCTCAGGGATTGGTTGGTTTTCTGCCCAAAGATTAATTTGTTTTTCCTGCTCAGGGACTGGTTACTTTTCTGCTTAGTTGGTCAGGCACAGATTTGACTCTGGTTTCAGAGCCAAAGTATGTTTCTTTCGTTGGCCCATTTTGGCCTCTTGGCTCTAATTTCAGGGCCAGGGCATATTTCTTTCACTGGCTCTGATTCTAGGGCCAAAGTATGTTTCTTTGGCACTGGTTTCAGGGTCAGCGTATATTTCTTTGGTTCTGGGTTCAGGGCTAAAGTGTTTCTTTCACTGGCTTGGGTCTCAGGGCCGGGGTATGTTTCTTTCACTGGCTCTGGTCTCAGGGCCAGGGTGGGTTTCTTTGGCTGGCCGTTTTACCCTACAGTGGGAATAGGTTTTATTACCATAATTGTTCAGCTGGAACCTCCAGCTCACCCGTGCATGGGCCAGAAAGTCCCATTCCTCTCTCTCCCCCTCCCTCTCCAAACCCCACCTGCTCAGAGAATCTCCAAACAAAGGAAAGGTGCCAAAAAGCCCAGTTCCGAATTCTCGGCCACTACTGCCACTTCTTCCCCGATGCCACCAGCAGCCGAGACATCCCGCCTAACTGCTCAGCTTTTGACAATACGTGGGCACAAAAGCAGTTTCTGGCAGACACCTCATTACCCCTTGCCTACAACCTAAAAGAATCCCTGTTTCACTCTAGGGGTGTGCCTTCTCTGGCCTCCACCTCTGGGACTGGAGAACTGGCCTGGTGGTTGCTTTCTTCAATATACCTATTGTTTTACTTTTTCAATGGGCTTGATCTGGCTTACTGCATCTGCAGAGAAACCTACTATGGGGGGCAGGGAAACAGAAAACCTATTAAGTAGGAAAATTTTTATCTATTGGGGAAATGTTTTTTTAAGAGTTATTTATTCATTATGTATATCGTGATCTGCCTGTATGTATGTCTGCAGGCCAGAAGAAGGCATCAGACTTCATTATAGATGGTTGTGAGTCACCATGTGGGTGCTGGGAATTGAACTCAGGACCTCTGGAAGAACAGCCAGTGCTCTTAACCTCTGAACCATCTCTCCAGCCGGGGGAAATGTTTTTATACATGATAAATGAGAGTCTCTAATAAATGTGGGGAGAGGTCCTCAAACAGTTAAGTGGATTCATCATTTAACTGTTGGCCAAAACATCCCTGGCTAACCTCTGTATTGGGTGGGTCCTTTTGGGAAAATGATGTTGTGCATCTTTGCCAGTGGTCAAGGATGGCAGGAAATGGGGTGAAGAGGATGCCTGGGACCCTTCCAATCATCAGATAAGAATTGGGTCTCTGAAGAGATGTACTGTTGAATCAAAGGTGTGAGCTCTGCTCAGCCTAAGCTGAGACAGGGTCAAACCACATGTGCCCTCAGCTTGGAACAACCCCCAGCACTACAAAACCAAACAGAGAGAGAGAGAAGAGGGGACTGGAGCTGTATTTCAATGGTAAAGCACTTGCCTAGCACAGTTGAGGCCCTGGTTTTGATTCCCAATTCTGGGGGTGGCAGGAGAGTCAAGCCTGGTTGGAGGAGGAGCCTCAGGCAGGGAACTCCTTCTGGATGGTGTCTGCAGGCCCAAGAGCAGGCAGGAAGGTCACCCGACTCCCACCCCCATCCTTTCTGGGGTTTCCTATTCTTTTTAAACTTAGGAGGATTTGCTGGGCGGTGGTGGCACACTCCTTTAATCCCAGCACTCAGGAGGCAGAGCCAGGTGGATCTCTGTGAGTTCAAGGCCAGCCTGGGCTACAAAGTGAGTTCCAGGAAAGGTGCAAAACTACACAGAGAAACCCTGTCTCAAAAAAAAAAAAGCAAAACAAAAAACAAGACAAAACAAAAAAAAAAAAACCTTAAGAGGATTAGAGAGGAATTCTAGCTCGGGCTCCAAAAACGCCTAAGTTATTTACCTGAAGTGGAGTAGGTGCAACTGACTTTTAGCGCAGCTTTTCCTCCCCAGCTGCTCCTCATTCCTTACTGTGGTGATAATTTGTTTGTGCTTTAACAAATAGAACTTGCCTGGAGATCAGAGTGCAGAGCTGGCCACTAGTTAACCATAGAAGCCAGGCGGTGGTGGCACACACCTTTAATCCCAGCACTAGGGAGGTGGAGTCAGGAAATGATATGGCTGGGCAGAGAGGGATATAAGGTGGGAGAAGATAGGAGCTCACCCCTTTCAGACTGAGGAGTTGGCGAGGTAATAAGTAGCTGTGGCTCGTTCCTTTGTCTCTCTGATCTTTCAGCATTTACCCAGATATCTGGCTCTGGGTTTTTATTATTATGACCAATTAGAATTCACACTATACCCTACTATACGTTTTTCTTTTTTTTTTTGGTTTTTCAAGACAGGATTTCTCTATGTAACCATCCTAGTTGTCCTGGAACTCGCTTTGGAGACCAGGCTGGCCTGGAACTCACAGAGATCCGCCTGCCTCTGCCTCCCGAGTGCTGGGATTAAAGGAGTGCGCCGCCCAGTTGCCTG